CCGGCGGCGGGGTCAGCCTGGCCTTTGGGTCTGACGATGTGCCCACGCTGGCGTTCAGCGATCAAGACGCCCAGCAGCCAGCGGCGCCGGGCCGGCTGACCGTCATGCAGTTCAACGGCCGCAGTTGGGCAGTGTACGGCGCCAGCCGCGTGTCGCCTGCCGGCTGCTCGCTCCCCTCGCTGGCACTCGACTCTGGCAACCTGCCCTGGGTGGGCCATGCTGCCGGCTCTCACACCCGCCGTCCAGGCTGCCCGCTTGTTGGTCCCGGCCAGCTGCCTGTGCAGGCCTGCGCCCTTCCCCCCTCAGCACCAGCACCTAGGCAGCGAGCAGAGCAGGGGCGGAGCCCGCCACTTGAGCTCTGCCTGCCGCCGCCGCACCCTGCAGGTGTCCTGCCAGTCCACCAACAAGAGCGTGGTGGTGATGCGGCACACGGGCGCCTCCTGGCAGGCGCTGCCCGTGCCCTCTCCCGCGCGCGCCGGCTGGCTGCAGCTGGCCCTGGACTCTGCAGACACGCCGTACCTGGCGGCAATCGACGACGATGTGCCCAACCAGGCGCTGCTGCTGCGATACGACGGCGCCGCCTGGCTGCAGCTGCCCCTCCTGCCCGCGCCCAACGGCGTGTACCCTCTCAACACGCTGGCGCTGGCCATCAGCGCCGCCGACGTGCCTCACATCGCCCTGCAGCGCGGCTTCCAGCAGCCGCCCGACCACTCCGTGTGGCGCTGGGAGGCGGCGGGAGGCGGGCAGTGGCTTACCGTCGGGCCCAGCGACGCTACGCCCATCACACCCTCAGCAGACTTCCCCTGGCTGTCCCTGGCGTTCGACGCCTCCAACCTGCCGGTGGTGGCTTTCAAGGACCAGGCTGCCGCCACCGTGAAGATCTGGTGAGGCTGGCGGTGGGGAGTTGAGGCTGGCGGTGGGGAGCGCTGCTGGAGCAGCGCAGTGCGCCACGGCCCGACGGATCCTGTGCCGCCCTGCTGACACTCTCGTTGGCTCCCGCCGCTTGCAGGACCGACTCCAAGCAGCAAACCGGGTAAGCTGCACCCAGGCAGGCGTTCCAAGGGCCCGCGGACGCACCGGGGCTGGTATTGCCAGGCATTGTGTGGTTCTGCCAACCCGGCACATGCTGCGGCGGGAGATGCTGGGCTCGGCCTTGCTGACATTGCTTCAACCTGCTTCTGGCGCTGAGTTGAGGCTGGACAGGCATCCCACCTGTCTGAGGCTTGCAGGAGCGCCACCCCTCCTCTGCTCCCCGCTTGTCCTGCAGCTGGAGCAACTTTGGGCAGGCCTTTCCCAGCTCCAGCGACGGCCCCGCCAGCGTGCTCGCCGTCGGCGTAGCCCTGGACAGCGCCGGCGTGCCGCTGGTTGCGGTGGTCGACGCCCAGCTGGCCTCCCGCGTCTCCGTGTACAAGTTCGGTAACAGCTTCACCGGCTGGCGCAGGGTGGGGGATGCAGGCTTCGGCCAGCCCGCCCAGACCTCCGTCTGCCTGCGCCTCGACTCTAAGGATGCGCCGCACGTCGCCGTGAACCAGGCGGTGTGGCGGCTGGCGGCCGACTCCTGGCAGCAGCTGGGCCCGCTGTTTGCGGCGGCGCCAACATCCGGCGTCAGCCTGGCTCTGGACGGGGTGAGGGTTGCTGATGGGGGAGAAAACGTGGCTGCTTGCATCCAAGCACATGCGCCGATTCCTGCGCTGCCAGGGCGGCTTCGGAGGCTGGCGGCGGCGTAGGCTGCCCTTCCCATCGCTGCTCCAGCGCAGGCGCAGCCGGTGGTTTGTCCTTGCCTCCCCATACCCCACACGCCACGCCCACACACACACCCTGCAATGCAGCTGGATGTGCCGCTCGTGGCATTCAAGGATGGGGTGGCGGGCGTGTCGGTGGTGCGCTGGAACGGCCGCCGCTGGCCCGTGCTTGGCGCAGGTGAGCCGTCGCCGGGAGGCCCATTGCCAAGCAAGGCTGCCCCTTCTGCTCTCAGGCGGTGTACGGAGGGGCCGGCAAGGCTGGGAACATGTTTTTGAGCTTGGTGTCCTATCCCCACCGACCCGCCCATGCACACATGGGCACCATCCCCACACACTCTCCGCCTGCCCAACGTGCAGCCGGCTTCCTGCCTGCCAACGCCGCCCTCGGGCCGCGCTCTCTGGCTGTCGAGACCGCCACCCAGCTGCCCTGCGTGGCTGCCTGGGTGGGGCCCTCCGTCGACCCCTCCGCTGCCCGCGTCTTGTGCTTCGACCCGGGCAGCGGCTGGGCCGCGCTGGGCGGCGCCATCCCGGTGCCGCCTGCCGCCTCGCCGCCCCAGGTGGAGCTGGCTCTGGACGGCCAGGACCAGCCCGTGCTGGCCATCAACCAGCCCGCCGGCAACGCAACGCTGTACGGCTACAGCGCTGGCGGCGCCAGCTGGGCGGCCCTGGGGCCCAGCCTGCCGGGCCTGGCAGCAGATGGCGACTTCAGCATGGCCCTGGGCCCCGGCGGCATACCCTACCTGGCCGTCCAGGCGCCGTCCGCCGTCATCTTCACCCCCGTGCACCGCCTGCTGGGCGGCGGCTGGGAGGCGCTGGACGGCGACCCCTTCATCAAAGGCACACCCGCCCCCACCAGCCTCTCCCTGGTTCTCAGCAGCAGGGGACAGGTGGTGGCCGCATTCCGTGACGCCGACCGCGCCAAGGTCGCCACCTGGTGAGAGCACCGCCGCCGCTGGCGCCGCCGCGGGCCGCTGATCGCCACGGCCCTGCAGCAGTGTGCCCAGACTGGGTGCATGACAGCGCCCGCCCGCACCCTGCTGCACAGTGGCCGAGCCAGGCTGACGCCCCAGCTGCCGCGCCCCTGGCTCCTCCTCACCGTGTGTTGCAGGGTGCCTCCAGACCCCTTGCCCTCGCCGCCGCCCTCTCCCCCAAGCCCTGCCCCACCCTCCCCCGCTCCGCCATCGCCCTTCCCGCCGCCACCCAGCCCGCCGCCACCCTCCCCCTCGCCGCCCTTGCCGCCTCCTCCCAGGCGAGCCAGCTGGCTGCTTGTGCTTGAAGGCGCGTGCTCTCGGGCAAGCTGCTGCAGCTTGCCCGGCTCACACCACGCTCCGTACTGCCCCACGCTGGCTCCCCCTGCCGCTGCAGCCCGTCGCCGCCCGGCCAGCCTGTGGCGCGCACACCCGGCTGGGGCCTGCTGGGGGCCCGCCAGTTCAGCAGCCTGCAGCAGCTGTTCCGCGTCAGGCTGGCAGTACACAAGCCCACCGACACCTTCTACGTCGCCTACCTCAATAGCACCGTGGGCAACACCCAGGTCCGCCGCTGGGACGGCTTTGATTGGCTGGCGATGGGGCCGCCCGGCGGCATCACACCCGGCCTCGCCACCCGCCTCTCCCTCGCCGTGGACGGTGCCGGGCAGCCGCACCTGGCGTTCGCCGACGTCTCCCAGGGAAGCCGTGCCAGCGTGATGCGCTACACGGCCGCCACCGGGCAGTGGGCTTACCTGGGACCGCCAGGCTTCAGCCAGGGTGCCACCGGCGGCGAGGTCAGCCTGGCCTTTGGGTCTGACGATGTGCCCACGTTGGCGTTCAGCGATCAAGACGCCCAGCAGCCAGCGGCGCCGGGCCGGCTGACCGTCATGCGGTTCAGCGGCGGCGCCTGGGGGGCGGTGGGAGGCGCCAGCCGCGTGTCGCCTGCCGGCTGCGTCAACCCAACGCTGGCGCTCGACTCTGGCAACCTGCCCTGGGTGGGTGTGGGCAGGCCCTGGGCTCTCCAGCTGCTGCTCTCTGCCCCAGCCCTACCTGGCTGATGCTCCTGCCGCATATTCACCTCCCTGCGACCTCCCCTCGTGCCTGCCTGCCTGCCGGCTGGCTTCCGGCCCGCGCACTTTGCCCTGTCGCCTCCATGTGCAGCGCGCGCCCGCCTGAACAAGAGCGACTTACGTCTGCTGGCGCCCCGCTCCCCCTGCAGGTCTCCTGCCAGTCGTCTGACAGCCTGACGCAGGGCGTCAACAACACCGCGGCGGTGATGCGGTACACCGGCTTCGCCTGGGCCTCCCTGGGTGCCAGCACCCTGCCCAACCGCACCGGCTGGCTGCAGCTGGCCCTGGATTCTGCAGACACGCCGTACCTGGGTGTCACCAACCTGAACAGCCCTGGGCAGGCGCTGCTGCTCCAGTACAACTCCAGCGACGACACCTGGCTGCAGCTGGCCCCGGTGCCCACCCCCACCAGCGTCTACCCCAGCACAAGCCTGGAGCTGGCGATCAACGGCTTTGACGTGCCTCACATCGCCCTGCAGCAGGGCGCGTTCGGCGGCGCGACCAACCAGACGGTGTGGCGCTGGGAGGCGGGAGGCGGCGGGCAGTGGGTTGGCTTGGGGTCCCCCGACGCCCCGCCCATCTCTCCCTCCACTGACTTGCCCTGGTTCTCTCTGGCCTTTGATGCCTCCAACCTGCCGGTGGTGGCCTTCAAGGACCAGAGAAGCGTGAGCGTGGTGATCTGGTGAGGGGGCAGGGCCGGCGGCGGCTGCCCAGCGCTGCCGACAAGTGCTGAGCGCAGGCAGGGCACGGCCCACGCCATGCGTGCCGCTGGCTTTGCAGCCTGCCTGGGGAGCCGCCGGCGCCTCACCGCGCCTCACGCTGCCCGCCGCTTGCGTTGCAGGACTGACTACAAGCCGCTTGCGGGCTGGGGACACATCGGGCAGGCCTTCCCCAGCTTCAACGACGGCCTAACCAGCGTGCAACGGGTGGAGGTCGCGCTGGACAGCGCCGGCGTGCCGGTGGTGGCGGTGATCGACGCCCAGCTGGCCTCCCGCGTTTCCGTGTACAAGTACGGCAACTTCTGGGACGGCTGGCAGCGCCTGGGGGCCCCAGGCTTCACCCAGCCCTCCCAGACCGCCCTGTGCCTGCGCCTCGACTCCCAAAACGTGCCGCACGTCGCCGTGAACCAGGCGGTGTGGCGGTTTGGCGGCGGCGCCTCGGGGCCGGTGTGGCAGCAGCTGGGACCCGCCTTCTCTGCTGGCCCCACCTCAGGCGTCAGCCTGGCGCTGGACGAGGTGAGGCACCGGCTCGGCCAAGCTGCCGCATGCCCCGACTGCAGAGTGTGGAATGGCTGCTTGAGGAGAGGTCTCCAGCCTCGCTGCCTGCGGTATCATGCCACGCAGTATCCCGCAGGCGTCCGCCTCACGCCTGCTCCTTGCGCCTGCACCTGGCTGCCCCTGCAGGCCGGCACCCCTTATGTGGCGTTCAAGGATGGGGTGGCTGGCGTGTCGGTGGTGCGCTGGAACGGCCGCCGCTGGCCCGTGCTCGGCGCAGGTGAGCCCTCGCCTCGCGCCTGCCCACTGCCTGCCGCTACTTGCACCAGCTGGCCGCTGCGCCTTGCCATGCAAGACCAGGATCTGCTGTTATGGCCGCTGCTGGTCCAGCGCTGGCCAGGAGACCCCTCCCCTCCCGCTGACGGCCTGGCCGCCGCCGACGTGCAGGCCCCCTCTGGAATGCCAGCGCCGTCACCTTCACCCGCTCCCTGGCCCTCCAGCCCGCCTCCCAGCTGCCCTGCGTGGCGGCCTGGGCGCCGTCCCCCAGCTCCCCCAACGGCACCGCCGGCCTGCGCTGCTTCACCGGCACCGGGTGGTCCCCAGACGACCCCCTCCCGCTGCCGCCCGCACCCTATGGCGCGCTGCTGAAGCTGGAGCTGGCGATCGACGCCGCCGGCGGGCGCCTGCTGGGCCTGCAGCAGCCCTTCTCGGGCTCCCCCGCCGGCATCAGCCTGCTGGCCTTCTCCGCCGGCCCCGGCGCGGGCGGGTGGAGCCAGGCGGGCGCCGGCGTGCAGGCGGGGATGGGCCCGGGCGCAGACTTCAGCCTGGCGCTCGACTCCGCCGGCTCCCCGCTGGCCATCTTCCAGGCCGACCTCACATCCACCTATACAGACGTGCAGCGGCTGGTCGGCGGCACCTTTGGGCCGCTGGCGGGCAGCCCCTTCATCCGGGGCGTCGCGCCGCCCACCAGCGTGTCGCTGGCCGTCGATGGGCTGGACCAGGTGGTGGTGGCGTACCGCTTGTCGGGGGTCCAGGCGAGGGTGGCCATCTGGTGAGTGTGTGTGTGGGGGGGTGGCGGCCGCCCGGCAGCGACCTGCGCTTCGCTTGGCTGGGCAGGGCACTGGCTGTGTTTGCTGTTGGCCTGCGACCACCTGTGAGAGCTGACCCCGCCTGTCAGTTCCGGCGCTCCCGGCTTTGCCAACCCAGCATCTCACACCACACCTCGTTGCTTTGCCGCCCCGTGATGCAGGGTGCCGCCCGCATCCTGACCAGGCCACGCCCTGCTCACCCATGCCCAGCAGAGGAGCACCACGCTCGTGGCTGTCGCCGCCCCTGCACCGCTGCCCTGCAGCGACTCTTTTGCTTGCTGTTTGCTACATTTGTGGGGTGCCCCGTGCTACCGAATCGTGTAAGAATGCATGGGGTGCGGCCAGAGGTAGGCTCATCCGCGCTCCACCGCTCCAGCTGCTACGCATGCGGCTCTCCGCCCCGCAGCTGCCGCCCTGTGCTGTGCCGCCGCGCCGCCGCCTGCCCCTCCAGCGCACGGCGCTGGCGGCGCCTCTGCCGCCGCTCCGCTTTCAGCCGGCCCTGGCGCTCGGAGCAGCGGTCGCGCCAGTCCAGCAGTACACCCCGTACCGCCAGCGGCCGGTTGCTGATGGCGGCGTTCAGGTTTGCCTCCAGCGCTCGGTGCAGGTCCCGCGGGGAGTCCACCGTCCAGGCCAGCACCGGCTTGCCCAGCTGCGCGGCAGCCGCGAAGAAGCTGTCTGCCATCTGCGGAGGCGCAGCGGGGGCGGCAGAGGGCCGGGAGGTGATGGACGGGAGGTCTAGCGATGCAGCAGCACATGCGTTCCCGACAGCCCCAGCAGCAGCTGTGCCGCGGCAGCAGCAGGACAGCAGTGTGACAGACAGAAGCACTTGCCGTGCCGCTGCCTGGCAGCCAGCATGGCAGCCAGCCGGCCGCTCCCTTCTCTTCTCCTGCCCACCTTGATGGAAGGGCCCAGCAGCGCAAACGGCTCCAGCTCCTCGGCAGGCAGCGCAGGGTTGGCATCGTCTCGGTCCTGCAGGCGGGGGCAGGCGGGCGGGCGGGCCAGCCAGGGCAGCAGCGATCCCGTCGGTGCAGGGGCGCATGGCGCCGGCCGCGTATGCTTGCTGCCGGCCACCCCGCCCCATCCTCCCAACCCTCCCCGCGGCACCCAGAGCACCACACACTCTCCCCGCTCCCCTCCACTCTCTCCTCTCTCTGCCTCCCTCTCCCCTCCCCTCCCCCCTGCTCCGCTACCGCCCGACTCACCATGTACCCCCGGATCAGCGGCCCGCCCCAGCGCGTCTGGTTCAGCACCAGCACCAGCTGCTGCGGCGCGGCCACAAACAGGGCCACGTGCGCCTCGGCATCCACCGCCGCCGCCGCCGCCGCCACCGAGTTGATGGTATCGGGGTTGTAGGCCTCGCCCTTCAGGTCCATCAGCAGCACGGGCAGCCTGGAGGGAGGCGGGGGGGGGAGGGGAGGGGGGGGGCGAGGGAGGGGAGGGGGGAGGGAGGCAGGGGAGGGAGGGAGGGAGGTGGGGCAGGGAGGGAGGCAGGCAGGGAGGCAGGAAGGGAGGGAGTGGGGGGCAAGCCTGGGCGCGGGAAGGGCCAAGCGCCGGACCGGGTGTGTGCCAGAGCCCCAGAGCGGGACAGCCTGGCGGGCGAGGCGGCGGGCACGCGTGGCTTCGGGGCCCCAACCCGGCTGGGTTCCAGGCTGGGCCCACTCACTGCTCGTAGTCTGGCGCGTGCTGCCCCTGCCCCGGCTTCCACAGCAGGCCCGACTGCTCCAGCAGCGCAGCAAACACCTGCGGGGCCGCGGGCGGGGGTCGGGAGGGGCGGCGAGGGTGGCGCGCACACCCAAGAGCTCGCCCTGGAGCCCCTCCAGCCCACGAGACACAAGATATTCACACTCGCCACACCATTGTATGCACTACCTGCCAAGCGCCCTCCCACCTCACCACACACACGCACCCAAACGCACACCCACACCCTCACACCCACACCTTGATCAGCGCGTCCGCCGTGGGGAAGCGCTCCTCGTCGGCCCCCGCCGCCCGCAGCTCCGCCAGGCTCCACTGCCCCAGCGGCGGCGGCCCCCCGGCGGCCTGCCCCGCGGCCCCCGCCGCCAGCGCCGCCTGCAGGTCGTCCGGGTGTGAGGCCACCAGCTGCCCGTCCCGCGTCTGCACAAAGTCGATGTCGTAGCAGCTGACGCCGCCCTTGTGCAGCACAGAGTAGGCTGAGAGGGAGCCGGGGGGGACCCCCTCCACAGCCAGCCGCCCGCGGTGGGAGCACACGCGCAGCTGCTCGGCGCGGCTGCAGGGGTGAGGCCAGGCGGGCGGGCGGGGCGGCGGGGGCGGCGAGGTGGGAGGTGGGATGGGCAGCATCTCGGGCGTGCAGCGGGACCGGCGGGCTGCGCCGCTGGGCAACAAAACGGTGGCAGGCTGGCCAGTTGCAGCCGACACAAGGGGATGAGGCTTGAGCATGCATGCATGCATCCGGCCCCTGACAGTCGGTTCCGTGCCCTGCCTGCAGCCAGCCCAGCCTCTGCCAACCGGCGACAAACGCGACACAAACACCAATCCCACATGCTCCCCACCACCCACCCCGCCCCCGCCACTCACGCGCACGCCTCGCTGCTCAGCTTGTTGAACCACTCCCGCTCATCCTCCATGCCCGGCAGCTGCGCCGACGCCGACGCCGACGCCTGCTGCGGCTTCTGCTCCGCCGCCAGCGCCGCCTGCTGCTGCCCCTTGGCCTGCTGCCGCGCCGTCGCCTGCACCTGCGCGTCGAGCAGCTGCTGCTGGGCTTGAGCCTTGCCCGCCGCTGCCGCTGCCGCTGCCGCGCCTGCGGCGATGGCGCCGCCGTCCGGGTCGCCGCCGCCCTGCTGCTGCTGCTGCTGCTGCGTGGCGCCCGGCTGCTGCACCAGGTGCCCAGCGCCCGCGGCTTCCAGCAGCGCGTTGACCCGCTGCTGCGCGGCGGCGCGGCCCCCAGGAAGGTCCGCCTCCTCCACTGCCGCTCTTGTCGCATGGCGGTGCCGCCGCCCGCCGCCTTGCATCACCCAGGCAAACAGCAGGCCCAGCGCAGCGGCCACGACCGACACCCACAGCCGCTGCTGCCGCGTCAGCGGCGGCGACCGCCGGCTCCGGCCCCCAGCCCTGCCGTTTGGGCGGCTGTAGTCGGGAGGGCTGACCATGCGGGGAGCTTGTCTGGAGAAGGCCGGAGGCTGCGCGAGAAGGGCTGGCAACGCCTTCTGAACAATCAGGCCCGGCGTCTTGATGGGGCCCGCACGTCTGAGTTGCGACTCGTGGACGCACAGCAGGGACTGATGCGGGCGACAGGCAATGCACAGGCGCGAGTTGGAGCCTTCATAGAATGTTGGTGCAGTACGTCCGTACGCGTTGCTCCGCCAGGTTGGGACAGGCGGCGCCTGCTACATGCCGCGTGCAGCTCAGTGGCACATGCATTGGTGCTTGATCGCTGCTGGGCAGCGGCACATGCAAATTCAATCAATGACTCCACCCGTGACCTCTTCTGGCTCCCCCTGCATTCGCCGCCGGTCTTGATTTGGTCGGGCGCGACGCTCAAGAGCGTGCGAGTAGTATGGCAGGCGGACGGGAGTGGGAGGAGGAAAGCGAGGCTGAGCCTTCCGACGCCTCGGACTTCGAACCCTCGGCTGCAGCCTCCAGCGAGGATGAGGACGAAGAGATGGGGCAGGGCGAGGAGGAGGAGGAGGAGGACGGCGGCGCGGCCGGCGACGGCGAGGGCGCCGCCGAGCGCCCCGCCACGCAGGCGGAGCTGGAGGAGCGGCGCCAGCAGAACATCCGTGCCATGGTCAGCGGCACGGGGCTGGCCCTGCGGCGCCAGGCCCTCCTGCCCAGGATGCTCACCGTGCAGCAGGTGGCGGTGGTGCTGCGCCGGCCCTTCAAGTCCCCGCACCCAAACGCGCCCGCGGTCTCCCAGGTGGGCTGCCCTGCCCCTCTGCCCCTCAGCCTCAGGCTGCACACTACCCTGCCTCCACCAGCGCAGCAGCAAGTGTCCCCGATCCCCGCCCCTCTGCGTCCCTGCTCCCATGCCTGCCGCAGGCTCTCAAGCGCAAGCTGGCTGCACGCAACACCTTTGTGCCCTGGGGCGGCGGCAAGTTTGTGCCCCTCAAGCTGTCCATGCCGCCCCGGGAGCCGGAGCCGCTGCCAGAGGGGGCGTCGGCGGCAGCAGCGGCAGCGGGAGCGGCGCAGCCAGCGGCGGTGGTGCTGCCGCCGGGCGTGGATCCGCTTGTGCTGTGGGCGCCGCCGGCAGGGGCAGAAGGGGAGCCTGTGCGGGTTGACGACATGCTGACCCAGGTGGGGCCCTGGCTGCCTGGCTGGTGGATGGGCTGGAGGCGGGATGGGATGGGGACGGGCTGTGATCGCATGCCCATTATGACAGGAGCCCGGGGCAGCAGCCCGCGGCGCGGCATTGGGGCGGGCGTGGCCGCCGACCAGGCCAAGCGCGGGCAGCCGTTCGCCGCCCAGCCCTGCCCCACCTCCCCATCGCTGTGTGCCGCCTCGCCGCCGGCCTGGGTGCAGTTCCTGCGCCCCCACCAGCGCGAGGGCGTGCAGTTCATGTTTGAGTGCGTCACCGGGCTGCGGTCCTTCCAGGGCCAAGGTGGGTGGGCAGGGGCTGGCTGGCTGGCGGCGATGTGTTGCCCAGCCACTGCAAGCCTTGCATCCCTGCCACGTGTCGCTTTCTGGAGTCGTTGCAGAGCATCTGGCTGAGTCATTCCCTTTCCCTGCCCGCCCCCCTGGCGCAGGCTGCATCCTGGCAGATGACATGGGCCTGGTGGGTGTGGGGAGCCTCCCCTGGGGCGCACGGCGCTCGAGCCCGGAAGCGATGCTCGCTTGGCGCTGCGGCCTTGCCGCTGCCTCTACTCTGCTTTTTGTTCATGTATCTGCGCTAGTCTAGCGGCAGCTGTCGCATGCACGGACACCCAGCCGCACGGGCGCTCTGCCTCCCTGGCTGCAGGGCAAGACGCTGCAGGGCATCAGCCTGCTGTGGACGCTGCTGAGCAGCAGGGGCCACCTGCTGCTGGGCGGCGACCCCGTCGCCAAGCGAGTCATCATCTGCTGCCCGACCTCGCTGGTGGGGTGAGTGGCCCTGCCCGCCTCTGCTTGGCCGCCTGGGTGGAGCAAGCGCGGCGCACAACATCGCCAGGAAGAGCAGCTGGGCAGTGGTGCCCGTGGCAAGGGGCAGAGCATGGGCCCCACAGGCGTGCCTGACACGGGGTGCCCGCTCGCCTCCCACCTTCCACCCTGCGTCGTCGTGCTCCCATGCTGGCTGCCCTCTCAAGTCGCATTGCCCTGCCGGGCCCGGCCGCCCTTACCACGCTTTCCTGCCCGCAGCAACTGGGACAGCGAGTGCCAGAAGTGGCTCAAGGGGCGCGTGCGCACGCTGCCGCTGTGCGAGAGCTCGCGGGACGAGGCGCTCGCCTCCATCTCCCAGTTCCTGTCGCCGCGCAACCCCTACCAGGTGTGGCGTTGCAGGCCCTGGGGCGCTGGGCGCTGGGCGACCCTGCATGGCGCTTGGCCTGGGATGCAGCGCCAGCCCTGGCGGCTGACACACACACACACACACACGCACACCACCTGGCTGTGTGCCCTGGCAGGTCATGATTGTGAGCTACGAGACGTTCCGCATCCACGCCGAGCGCTTCCAGGCCGAGGGCACCTGCGACCTGCTGATCTGTGATGAGGTGGGTGGGGGGCCACCGGCCGGGGTGGTGGCGGCCTGGGCTGGGATCACACCTGGGTTGTGGGGGCCTGGGCGGGGGGCAAACCTGCGGCTCCTGCTTGCTGTCCTTGCGTCTCTTGCCAGCGCAAGCAAGGTCAGACGCGGCCGGTCCCGCCACCCAACCGTCCCGCACCCGCCACCCCACCCATGCCTCTTACCCCCTGGCCCGCCGCAGGCGCACCGCCTGAAGAACGACGCCACGCTGACCAACCGCGCGCTGGACAGCCTGGCCTGCCGCCGCCGCGTGCTGCTCAGCGGCACCCCGCTGCAGAACCGGCTGGACGAGTTCTACGGTGGGTGGTGGTGGTGGTGGTGGTGGGGGGGGGGGGCATCTGGTGGTGGCGGCAGCTGCGGCCTCCCGGCCTGCCAGCCCTGCCAGCTGCTCTGCACGCCCGCCGGGGCTGGGAGCCATGCGCTGGCCTACGTGCCTCCCCGCCTCCCGCACCTTGGCCCACCTCCCCACCCCACCCCACCCCACCCCCTGCCCCTGCAGCCATGGTCAGCTTCTGCAACCCGGGAGTGCTGGGCTCACCCGCCCAGTTCAGGCGACACTNTGAGGCACCCATCCTGGCGGGGAGGGAGCCGGGTGAGGGCTGGGCGGCCTGGGTAGGCTGCCCGCCACTGCTGCTCTTAAACAGACGTCCAGACGGTCTGCCAGGGACCGTGGCGAGGGGGTTGTGACCTCTGCCCTCCGCCTGCCCTCTGCGCTGCGCCCCGGGGCCCGCCCCTGCCGCAGATGCGGGGGAGGGCGAGGTGGCGCTGTGCCGGGAGCGGACCACCGAGCTGTCGGCGCTGGTCAACGAGTTCATCCTGCGGTGCGCTGGTGGGGCTGTGGGGTGGGGCGCTGTGGGGTGTGGTGTGGGGTGCATAGAGGTGGGCGGTGATGATGTGTGCCTGCGGCTGGGGGAGTCTGTGGGTGCGGCTCTGGCGGTGCGAACTCCGGTGTCGACGCAACGCCTCCTGCCCCGTGCCCGCCGCTGCAGCCGCACCAACACGCTGCTGTCGGAGCACCTGCCACCAAAGGCGCGTCTGTGGGGGCGGTGTGTGGGTTGGTGGGTGGGTTGGTTGGGTGGAGGAGTTGTAGCCGGCCCTAGTAAGCCGGCTGGACTTCTTGCCTACCAACCACGTGTCCAGTAAACACTCAGCCTGAGCTGGCCTGCATGGTACAGCGCCTACCGAGCCACCTTTCCCGCCAACCTGTCACCGCCAGCCTGTGCCGCAGGTGGTGGAGATTGTGTGCTGCCGGCTGACGCCGCTGCAGCGCGCCCTGTACTGCCACTTTTTGGAGTCCAAGGCCGCGGCCGCGCTGTTTGCCACACAGAAGGCGGCCCGCGTGCTGTCGGCCATCACCTCGCTGCGCAAGCTGCTCAACCACCCCAAGCTCATCTGGGACGCGCTCAACAGGCGCGCCGCGCTTTCCTCCCTGCTGCGCCCTTGGGGCGTCCTTGCAGCAGGGAGGGGGCCTGTCTGGAGGGGCCCTGCCAGAGGCTGCAGCCCCTTGGGCACTGTGTTGGGTCTGGCAGTGCACCGCTGGCTGCAT